ATGTATAAATTTGAAAGCGAAATAAAACTATATGAAGATAAGTTAATAACATATTTCCTAAGCAAGAAACGGTAATAAAGTAAAATACTACCTCGAAAGTAGCAAGAATGAAAACAAACTAACATATTTTCTTTTTTTCTGATTTCTTCAAAAAGAAGGAATGTCGAGCCAGAATTTTAATGTAGGACTGATATATTGGCCAATGGCATGAGCTGTTGGTTTGCATTTGCCACTGCAGAGAATTGCTAATCCATCATGATTTTTTGGATTTTATCATTTTGGGTGTACCAGGGAGTTTCAGCTTACATATTCACTAAGGGAAATTGTTTTGGGCGTGTTCTGAAGAAAATGTGCATATATTTGCACCTTAGATTTATAGGGCAGGATTAGAAGTGAAATAAGAAGGGTGGAAAAGCCCGTAGAAGCCCAACCAAGGAGCAGTCATTCCAAGTAGGAAATTTGGGTGCTGAGCTAAACGGCGTTTTGTAATGAAAGCCACAGAACCGTAAAGGACAGTATGTAATGTGTACTTATGAAAACGTAAAAATCTGGATTTGTTAAAGTAGCGTAAGCCATGGCGAATAGATCGAACCGGATGAAGGTGTAAAAGGGTTGTTGAAGGGCTTTGGATGGCCGGAATTGAAGGTTTGAAACAATGGCCAATCTAAGATTGTTTTTATCAAACCTCATGCTAGATCACTCATCCAAAAAAATTCCAGAAATGAGATATAGAGAGATTAATTGTTACACTGGTCAGATTCGAAGCATTGGCTTGAACCTAAGACTGGTGGTACTCGCTTATCCATTGCACCCAGCCATCAAAAAAAGCTATTTTTAAGGTTTCTTAATTAAGAGAAGTGAGTTGCAGGAAACGGAATTGGAACCGGAACGTGGTTCCTGGCGTCTGGATGATCAATTCGTGCAAACTCCCAGTGGTGTTGTGATGGCATTCGTCTGTGTCGATGAAGCAATCAGTTATCCACAGTTCGCGTAAGCATCCTCTTGTCGTGCCCATTTTTTGCCCTCTCTAAATACGAGTTATTGCCCCTGGTCGCTAGGATAGCATGGAGTAATTGCTATGGACAACACTACTACCTATAGTTACTGTCAGGCACATTGTCTTTCATAAAATTCTACTTTTTCAAGGTTTTTTTTTTTTCAAGGTTTTGACTTTTGACTTTGACAATTTACACTGGAATTCAAAATTTTGTTCCACCATCCACGAACACAGCAGAATTAATCCTGCACTAATTTACGGCAATTACTAAAACACGACTCGGCTCACCTCGGCCATTACCCTCTAACCTCCTCGCTAACGCTATTTCGCGGCAAGTCTCGGTTTTTTTCCATGCTAAAACAGGCTTACAGCAGCTCTCAAAATACGATCTTGTAGGGAAGCGTTACCGACACTAATTCGTACGTGTGAGTATTTTGGCTTCAAATTTGCGGACGATCGTCACAATGCGGACAGCGTGCGAACATATCAGTGGAACACACGATATGTGGAACTCACGGACCACGTACTCGATTTCAAGAAAAAATGCGCCAATATAGCAGCAGGGAAGAGAATTGTGGTCAAACCTATACTGGTTTTTATTGTTGCACAGGCGAAAGATGAAATTTACGGTACTTTCTTAATAATTGTCCTTTTTTGCCATCGCTGCACCGGTCAGCTATTCGATTATTATGCTTCTTTCCGAATTCACCTAACTCTAAATACGACATTGAGTTTGACCCTTTTTATCGCACTTTCGGTATTTGCATTCGTTTAACAATACTTTGGTACACCATCCACCTTGCCCCGTCTGATATCTCACTTTATTGCT